ATTGTGAATGCACAAATACATGAGCTCAGTGACCACTTTATTAGTTACATTTGAAAAAACACTACTGATGCAACAGCTGAGTCATAAATTCTACCTTTACTGACATGACGTTCAGTTGTTGACACCGTCAGAGAGCAATAATTTAGGTTTATAGTTGAGGTTGCAGTTTGCAGTGGTATTTAATATTTAATTGGACAGTATCACCGTCTGGGTGTGGCTTCGTCTGGTTTGACTGACAGTTGTGACCTTTTAATTCAAATGTTGCATGTTTCTGATTGGTCCGTTCAAGTTTGTGACATCACTGCTCTTAGACGTCGCACCACCCACTTACAAGCAGGGAGACAAGATCCGACAAAAACACTACAGTCGTAAATCTGTCAGCGAAATAGTCTAAACAGTTTCAAGTCAGGGTTGAACACTGCTAAAGCTAATGTTGATTTTTATATCAATGGAAACTATTTTTGCGCAGTTTGGAGGAAAAACAAATCGGACTTACTAAGTCAATGACAAACCTAGTTAACAGGTCTAAAGTACCTGTTATTGCTACCAAATTATTTATCAGATCCCAGAAATTGTAAAACAGAAAGAATCGCTGGCTTTTTAACTTTCTGCCAGCTGACACTGAACTAATAATCTGTGACTTGTAGTTCCATCGGAAAACTAAATCGAAGTCTAAAATTGTGGCAGCACTCTGTAAAAAACTGAAAAATCTTCAGTCCTTAGTGCAACAGTGACCATCAGTCAAATGACAAAATTGAGGGATTTTTCAGTTGAACTGGGCTGAACTGCAGGCTGTGCTTCTAACAAGCAGACAGAAGATGTGATTGAAGGAAATATAACTAGTAAAATATCTGTGTGTAGAGTCTCTGTTCTTCTTTTCCAGTATTAGAAGCACCGGTCGACTCTTGGGAAAAATACGTTGATCCCAAATTTTGTTTTACTTTTTAAAAAACATTTTTGTAAAATAAATGATCAGTCATTTCTGGCATTATGCTGTACAGCATACCTTTTTGAGTTCTCTCTGCAGGACTCTATGTTGCAGTAAACAGTTGAGCCCACAGCGAGCAAAACTGTGCCAGGGCCATAAAACACCCAGAATGCTTGTGGTTCAGAGGTTGAAACTGGAAACCACAAAGTACGACTGACTAATTGTCAGTGTAGAGCTGTGTTCTAATGTAATTAAAGGTTCATGTAAATTTAAATTAGCACCATGAAAAGACTGGAATGAGAGATTTCATTTTTTAAAACAAGTTTGCTTCGTATTTCTTCATATTGTAACTTTATTACAGAGTATTGAGCATAGAGGGAAAGAAAAAAATAGCAGCTTTATTTATTTAAAGCTAAAGCTACAATGCAAAATGTGCAAAAGGTCAAGCATTTTAAATACCTTTTGAACATGATAAAGCAAGCACAGCTTCTGCACTTCAGAAACACTTTGACTCTAACAGCCTGTTGTAATGTGCTGCTTCTGTGCGTCCACAGACTCCGTCCTCAGTCTTCTGGAAGGAGCTGGCTTTAGCGATGCCTCGGAGAGTCGTCTTCCACAACGAGTCTGCAGGCGACCCTCAGACTGTGCTGCAGGACGACAAAGACCCCATGCTGACCCTCGACCCCGACTACCTGGACTGCCGCTCAGACGCTGACCCTGCTGGAGATCTGGGTGAGGGCAGCACTTTTAATGAGCAGTGCTTGTGTTAGAGCTCATTGTGTGCTCTTTGTTAAGGTACACTGTTTACATAAATGCAGAAACGGTTAACTGTTTACACATGCAAAGTAAAGACATACATATTAAAGTTGCAGCACCTCATACAAATGACAGGTGTTTAAATATTTGGACAAATACTGAAGCAAACATGCTCATGTTTATTACCTGTGTGTACGGACTCTGACCTACAGGTGTAAGTCAACTCTGTCAGACGTATGTTGATATATACGTGTATATATATATATATACGTACCTTTTGTCACATGAGAATTAGAACATAAAATATTACAGCCTCAACCTGATAGACTCTTTCATAATAGTGCATTTAAGCTGTTGTACTTTATCTAGTTTGTTTCGATTAAAAAATGCTGATTCATAATTTGTTAATTTTCTTGTTGCAGTCAGGAGTGGGATTACAGCAGCACTGATTCAACTAGAGTTAGTCTTTAACCAGGACTTAACATCATCACAATAACACATATTCATTTACCAGCTTTGTAATCTTCTGCATCAAAAGATACTAAACAAACATTAGAGGCATGTTCAAGTTACAGTGTGACAATCTGGACTTTGCTCTTGTTTGTTTTCTTGCATAATTTTTTAGGAGTATATTTACAATCTGAATCTGAAATACTTTATTGATCCCTGAGGAGAAATTGTTTAAGATACTCCCATTTAAAGTCTTAGAAGTTTAAGCAGTACAAAAAAAGGTAAACCTAAGTAGCAAAATGTGTCCTAACAAAGTATAAAAGCTAAATTTTTCATCGTTCTAAGAAAGTAAAAGTGCAAGCATACGGTGCAATAAATAACAAATGGAGTTATATTGATCCCGCTCTCACAGAGCTGCAGTCAGGAAATGAAGATAGGCTTTGTTTAGCCAAGAGAAACAACTTGGGTGTCTCCGTCCAAAGTCTGCCTCCCAGCAGCTCCACAGTCTGCTCTTTAACAGCTGAGGCACTGACCACGGCTACATCACAGTGATTTCTGAGATTCCATAAAATCCAAGGCGCGCATTCACAGTAAACCACAACATGTCAGTTGCTGGTAGGCAGATATTATCATCTTTGGACAGAGTCCAGCTAGTTTTTCCTCCTGTTCCAGTTAAATTAACCAGCTGCTGGCAGTTGTTTCATATTTAATGGACAGATATGAGAGTGAAATCGATCGTCTCATCTAACTGTCAACAAGGAAGAGAGAAAGCATATTCCCCAAAATAGAAAAACAGAACAAAAAGGTGTCTTGTTACTTGTTGAAAAAAACATTTTAGCGAAAACTGCAGTTGAAATCTTCCACTGACAGCTTCCCTTTACTGCACCAAACTTGTTTTTAATATGTAATTGATGCTCAAATTTGTCTTTTAATATTTCTTTACAACATAAAGATGTTTGTAGCTTTATATCTTATAGTAGTTTGGATTAGCTTGTGGCCTGCGTTTGTTCCTACTGGACTAAATATGCTTTGAAGTCACCTTTTAATGAAAATGAAACCATTTCTGCCGGGCTGTTAGCCAACACAGCAGCCAGGGGCCGGTATCTGAGCAGGACTGGATTACAGTTACGTAAACATGACCGCTCATTTCAGTCCATCCAGGCAACAATGCACAGAAGATAATAAACTAGTTTTAATGAAAGTATAAATGGAAAATGTAGCAAAGGAAAAAGCTAAAACAAATACGAGAGTCAAAGCAAAAAGTTCTGAAGTGTTTCATGCACCAACTGAACCAACAGCAGCTTCCTGTTGTCCTATCTTCACCTTTTTTTCATGTAGGTTCATGTTCTGTTTCACACAATTTACCTTTGAGATGTAAAACTCTTTTCATTCGGAAGTCATCTTTCCTTGAAGTAGTATCTTTAATGAACTGTGGTTTGTGTAATGACTTTGATTTGGTGCTTTTCATTATGAAGGACTCATGATTGATATGTAAGCAAGTGCAGCAGTTCATTCCCCCTCCAGCATAACCTGAACCAGAATTTAATTTGCTATTCAGTGGAGGTGACACTTGTAAACAACTCAATCATTGCAGCAAGAGAAGAGTAAAAAGCATGTTTCCATTCTTCACCTTCTCTCTCTCCCCGTTGCAGGGCTTCGGCTCCCAGTGTACAAGGCTTTGGCCTGTACGGCTCCAGTCCTCCCTGCTGCTCCCATCGCAGCAGCAGACGAGCCGAAACCCTCCGACATCGACGTTTCGGACCTGGGATCACGCAACTACGGAGCACGATCAGACTTCTACTGCCTGGTCACTGAGGAGGACATCTGATCCATACTCCTCTCGATATGCTGATCTCTACAAATTAACACTGACATGAAGATGCATTGGCATTTCTTTATATTTATCTCTGTCACATAGCTAAATATGTGTTTTTCCTTTTCTATGCAATGTGTTTATTGAAATCAGTGTGCCATTTTCTGTTTACCCTCACCATAGACTGATTTTTTAATATTTTTAAATTTCTTACTGTTGTGTAAAATGTTTTGTGAGAAATTATGTGTAATATTTCAGGGAAATAACAAACTTAGTGTGTACATGTGAAGAGTTCATTTGCAAAAACAAATAACTTCATCTTCACAAACCTTCAGAAAACCCACTTTTTGATCATCTGAGACAACATCAATCTAACTTATCTCTATTTTTGTCATGTCATTTCTACTGAGTCAAATCCACTCAACTTCAGTTTGATTGATATTTTCTCAAGCAAACAACCAAAAAACAAGTTTTCTGAAAATCTACAAAAATGGAGTTCTCTGTTTTTGCAAATGAACTCTTCATATTTACATTTATATCACATCAGATTTTTCTTTCAGTCCCCAGCAGAGGGCAGAGCAATAATAGATAAGATTAGATTAACTAAGGAATTTGCTTTTTAAGCAGTTTTTTATTTCACAATACACAGATGGTGGGAAAAGACATGCGACAGTCAAGAAGTCAGATTTGAATCCAGCAAAGTTGTCACCTCTGCAGTCGAGCGAAGCAGCACGACGCCTGAGACTGAAGAGCTTGTTTTTTTTTCTGTACAGGTGGAAGCTTTGTGTGTGTGAAGAAAGTCAACTACATGACAGTTACATGAATTAAAATACTTGGCTATTTGTCTTTGAAGGAGTTGCTTATCGCCGTCTTCATGCAGCAATGATTACCTGCAGTGAAATTGGAGCCTAAATAAGGGCGCAGCAGGGAAGGTCTGGTATTGTTCCTGTCTGAGCAGGAGCAAATATGTAAACAGGGAGTGGTCGACATTTCACCACATTAGTGTCAGTCTGTTACAACAGAAAATGCACACGCAAGAAACAAAATGACATCTTATTTCCAAATGTGTCTCTTTATTAGCTTTAAAATATTTTACATCTGCCTGTATACAACATAAAGGCAAAAACAAAACAAAAAAAAAACTGCCAGTGTCTTTAAATACCCACACAGAAAAACACAAGGTCACTATTAGTGCTACAGAGCAGTAATTGTCTCAAAGCATGAATTTTTATTTTTTTTAAGAATAAGCCTAATTTATTACACAAATAAATCTCTGCTGTTTACCGGGTCCAGTTCTGAAACGTGTTCAACTTAGCAATTTGCAAATCATAAACACAAAAAGACCAAATACTAAAATGTTTTTTTTTTATTTGTTCTGCAACAAAGTTAGGACAGTGTCATTTCACCCCTGCGTTTTACACACACAATCAAACCAAGCGATTACAAATGATGCCGTTTGATATGACAAAACTGAGATTTTGCAATTTTAAAAAGCGCATTAGTAAATACAAAAGTGTGGCTGCATCATAATCCCCTAAAGCAAATTTATTTACATCCAAATTTCTATAAATCTCTGGTTTACATTCAAATATAACAACCTTATAATTCTGACTCTTATAAACAGATATCTATCTGAAAACTACAAAAACATAGCACTGCAGTATATAAAACATTTTATCAAATTTTTGTGTAAAAGAAAAAGGCACTATTTACAAAAAAAAGTCCTGTTAGTACCACGTGTTGCATTCAACCGGTAAATGACAGAAGGTAAGGCACATGAGTACAACATGTTTTAACAATGTTAAAACTGTTTCAACAGCCGTTTCATGGAAATACATGCTGCTCTGACAGAAAAGAAATCCCTGATTACACACTAAACAGACATACAGTGTTCAAACAAAGAGAGTAAATGGTTAAGGTGCACACGTTTCCATCAAGAGTCCATTAATCGTCCTGGATCCACAAATCTTGCACTGTGCTGATGTCCATCAAGTTTTAAAAACACAAGAAATCCTTTTTCCATTAGTTAGATCCTCCAACACGCATGTTCATGTTCTTATCACAAAGTATGGTAGATAAAGACTGAGCCGATGTTATCTCTGAAGAGTAGAAAGATTTCTCCCAGAGTGGCGGTGGAGTTCAGGAGTGTTCACTGATGTGGCCGTGAACATGTGAAACATTACCTTTGCTTTAGATTGTAAGGTCTATAAAGTCCTCTTTCAAAAACCCTTTCTGTAAGACAAAGACACAAACAGGACGGTGTTAGAACACTGTGTGGACATGGGACACAGAGAAATGTACTGTGTTTGATTTATTTAAGTAATCAGATATTAACTAAACTGTTCAGGTTGTTAAACTTCAACCTGGAGCGACCTCGGGACAAAAAGCGTTTGAATTACACAAGATATGGTTTTTAAAAAATGTTTAATTTTTGCATATTTACATATTATGCAAGACGCTGTGTTGCTGGACAAACACTGGCACATTTTTTGTTCTGTTTGCACTTGTTCTTTAGGAAACAAGCTCGGCGCCACACCTTCGGGAGTGGCAAGTTGCAATCTGCACAAGGCAGTAAAGCTGCTCGGTCCTGCCCAAGACCTGGACCTGCCTGACTGGGTGCGAGTGTGCATGAGCGTGTGTGTGTGTGTGTGTGTGTGCGTGCATGTATCGAAAGAGTGGCAGTGTGAACAGTCAGAGACATATGACTTTTGAACCTGTGCCAGCCAACTGACGAGGGAAATGCAGAGACACGCTGTCTTTCACACAGACTTACACATTGTATCTGTCGCTCTCACTTTTTTTTTGTTTGTACACGGACACACACAGATGTAAGAATGAGGGTGTGGCGCCGCGACGGGAAAGCTTTTCCGCTGAACTTTGACTTTAGTGTGACAGATGCCATGCTTAGACTGACAGGAGACTATTTAAAAAGAGATTTTTTAAAAGCGTCTTAACCGAAGGCGCTGTCGTTACAAGAAGTGGCAAAAGTTAACATGGGCAGGTGTGTTTTTCCATTTGTTTCAACGTGACGACAGCGAGTGAGGAATGAGAGAAACGCAGTTGAAAGAAAAAAGTACTGACGCCTTAATTTGAGAAAATGATGAGCTGTTGTTTTCTGAGAAGAATGTGTAAGAGGATACTTTCAAGTCTCTCTTAATTAGAGATGTCCTTGAGTGACACCAAACTGAAGTCCAGATTAGTCATACATGCATATAATACAATATAAGTTAGTCTGGTCATTCATTAAACTCTTAAAAACTCATCTCTGTGTGTAAAAGTTACATATTTATGGCATTTTTTTCCCACAAAAATAATCCCTCCCAGTTTTAAAATGGCTTAGATGTAACTCTACATTTCTCTCTCTCCCTCTATTCGCTGCAGCTCGAGCACACCAGCTCCCCTCTGCTCAAGCACTGTAAAGCTACTCTACACCGCACAATGGCAAGTTGAAATATTGGAGTGATTCAGCCATGCATGTTGGGACCTGAAACTGGTTTTGAAGAAGAATAATGATATGGGAAGTCCCACCCTGTGAGCTGATGGGAAAGGTTCCTTCGGTTTGGTACACTTCGTTTACAGCTGTGCCTCCAGACACTTTTCTGTTTTTATGCCAGATACTGTGTCTATATATTAAAATTAACAGCAAGTACTCATAATCTCAAAGATCCACTTTAAAGGCGAGCAATTTTCAAAACTCTCTTTGATATGTTGTTCATTTTTTGCCTCCGTCTTTATAATCAGAGCTGATAGGTGGTGAGTTATTTCGGCACTATCTTACCTGTTTGTACTGTTTTTGCAGTTTCTTGTAATGGAACATGTTGGTGAGAACTGTGGCTGCTGCTTTGGCTGCTTTCACCTTCCCAGGACTGGAAAAATAATTCATCCAAGGTTAACACTTGATACAAATGACTTTGCGTAAGAAGACAGGATGCGATATTTTGTGCAACATTTAACATGAAATGTCTAAAACCATATCAGAACACGTGTTGCTAGCACAGTATTAGTTGTAATGTTACAAACCCGCTTTCATGTGAGGTCTTGATGCCAATCAGTTTGGGGATGCCGTCAAAGAAGCAGATGTCTCTGGCGGCCAGAGAGCTGCCGGTCACCAGGTTGTTGAGAACACCACAGATGTTGACCACCACCTCGCTGGACGGATCCTTCTGGTGTCCGTCTTCGGGCAACTTCTCCACCAGCTGGTTCACCATCTTTGTGGCTAAATAAAAACAATAGGTATTTACGGTGTGTTTTATCTTTTTCTACAATCAGATCATTCTTGTTAGTAACGGGATCACAAAAGCACACAAAGTTTCACATGAGAGGATTTGTGGTATTGTTCTCGTTTGTCTTTCCAAGCTCTCTCTCACATGGGTTCCAAGAGGCCAGATCTAATCTAACCTAAATAGGCTCACTCTCTAATTAGCCGAGTTTATGACTGTTACACTCATAATAGTAATAATTATATAATTGAATGATCTCATTCAGTGGCGCTCGTGACTTTACTATGTGAAGTTGGCTTGCAAATTGGTGCTATATAAATACATTAAACTGATCTGAACTGAATGAAATTGAACTAAAGGATTTTTTTGTTGACATGTGCAGTGTTCCAGTTTGAATTTCATCTTACATCTCAAAGTAGAAATTTAACTTAATGGAGTTTGGCAAGCTGATCTTCTGATTTGACTTAAATCATTCAATTTGTGACATCTGATATTGTTAAAACAACAACAACAAAAGGATTTGCAGAGAGGGGAATTCAAACCAGATAAAACCTTTTCTGTTTGCTTAAAATTCAGTGCTGTTAACATATGTATAGAGTCGTGGTTAATTTCAGAACTAGGTGCTCAGTTGCTGGTCAGTTACACATTAATATGACTAATAACGACCTCTATATAAAAGAAAGTGAAGGAACTGAACACACTGCAATCAGGCAAATCAGACCTGGTGAGAAGTGAGAAAAGTGTCGTCGCACTAACAAGAAATGTTCTGCAAAAAACTTAAAGCCGCTCTTAATTATCTTAGTGACTAAGACGTATCGTATTATTCATACATAACAGAAGGAAAAACACTGACGACTGACCCATTTCATCCTTATTGCTGGCGTGGCGGGACAGATTTCGGAGGAAGCCCGTGAGAGAGCGCAGCTCCAGATCATTTTTGGTCTTTAGGAGGTCAAGCACCACCGGCAGTATCCGTTCCTGCTCCAGAGCCACCCAGCTCAGCGCTGAAGCCCACTGCAGGAGAGCAAAAGAGACGGACAATTTAAATAAGAGACAAACTAAAGCCATTTCATTTGAATGAGGCCCGATGAATGAGCAGCTTACCCTCTTGTCTCCAGCTGTGATGTTCTGCAGAGCTCCAGCCGCCGCCTCGCGGGTCACGTGTTTAGTCTCGCATGTTTGCAGCACTTGCTTGTATATTCCCACAATCTGAGGGTGCCACAGCCACTCCATGCCCTTTGGCTGCCGAGCAACTTCAGAGAAAGTGAAGTGGGTCTGGCTCTGTTTCAATCAGTCAAAGGAAGATGTGTTAGACAGGTAAAAGGGACATTCTGGTCAATGCACACAAAGCACTGGTTGATGTGGTTTATGTCACGTGTGCGTACATTTTTGGCGTTTCTGCTCCGAGACGGGAAGCAGCCCACGCTGTCACCCTTCTTTGTGCCGTCGGCTCTGCTGTTTCCATCCAGGCGTAATGCAACGGATGGAGGAAGTTCATTGTAGAGCTGGTAGGAGAGGTTCCTCAAGACACACATTGCATTCTCCACCCCCTGAGACACACGCACAAACAGATGAATACAAAAATAGAACAAGACCTGAACTAAACAGGAAGAGCGGCTTCAATTCAGCGCTGAGCTCACCTTGTCTTCTGCCTTGTTCTTTTCGAGGGAGGCCCTGATGTAGTTGACCAAGGAGCTCACCAGCCCTGTTTTTTCTCTCATCATGTGACGGGTCTTGTCGCTCACAGAGCTCAGATTCCTGAACACACACAGAGCAAGTGAGAGGTCAGAGAGCTACTTCAGGTCAAATTCAAGCATGTCTTTAATTTGGCCAGATGGTGCACACATAGAGATCGTTCCTATTCCTGGCACTGGCCTGCAGCCGTACACCCTTAAAGCTCAAAAACTACCAAACATAACGAATATTCTCCAAATGGTAATTACTTTGAGATAAGAGTCACGCAGGGTGCACATAAATAGAGTAGAGCCAAGGTAACTGGGGGCAGGGAGTGATGCAGGTTATTTGCTATCAGCAGAAAAAAAAGTGATGGGTGTGGTAAAACTCCAAGTAAGCTGGCAGCTGACGCATAAGTTTGAGTGCACTGCAGGAACACGCGCAACAAATGCAAATGCAGTCATGGGAAAGAAAATTGAGGCAGCGCTGAACCAGAAAGAAAAATGTTTTAATCAAGGAGTCATGCTGCACCTTCAGAGATAAGACACGGATGAGTGAGATGTACCTGAGGCACCCTGTGGTGTTACAGAAGATTTCTGCCTGAGAGGGGGACTGCGAGTTATTCTTGGACTCTTCGTCAACAATCTTCTCCATATCGTCCAACTCTCTGCCGGACAGGGGGACGAGGATCTTATCAGTAAGCTCAGGAAGTGCCTCCCTGGCCAGTTTCTCCTTCAGGTTGTCTTTGGATGAAAGATTCCACAGGATACCTGAAACACAGCAGCAAAAAGTGACTGTAGCTTCTTTGTTGTTTCATCTTTCAGACTTGATGTCAGGACATTTTCACTGACGTTTAAAAAGGTGTGCATTTTCTTTCAGGGTTACATTGTCCTGCATGAGTTAAAAAAAAGAATGACAGTAAAAAGCTTGCACACGTAAATCCCTTTAAAAACCTGGGACCTCCGTGTCACATTTTGGCCGACTACCCAGATAAAAGGTGAACAGGCACAGTTCACAGTTAATTTATCACTTTCCTTAAGCTTCTTACTGAACATGTGACACAGGCATTAGTCTCCTACAGCAGATATAAATCAATGTCTAACGGCTCAAAGGAAAAACTGACATGGCCTTCTCTCTTAAAAGGGAGGGGCAGATATACTGCTAGTCCACAGGCCCAGACAACTCCTACGCACTTACTGATACCCCTGTACACACATGGACATATAGACACAACACCAGCTCCTCCTCCTACTTTCTAGGCCACACTGCATTCCTTGCAAATCTCCTCCGTCCTCCTGTCAGTTTGAATGATATCAATTTCAAAGGCTCAAAGAATATTAAAGGAAACCGTCAAGATCACGTTACATCAAAATAAAACCATCATTTTCTTCCCGTGGCGAAACTCCAAAACAGGAGATTTGCTCTGCTCGTTACGTCACAATTTTCATTTTATTGGCGGAGACCGGAATTTTCCTACCTGTGATGTTTTTGTGGAGCTCATCATCCGGCTCGCTGAGCGCCCTAACCAGCTCTGTGATGCCGCCCTCTTCGATGAGGGCCGTCTTGTTTTCTTTGTTCTCGTAGATGAGGTTGCGTGTAGCACCGGTGACATACCTCCGCACCTCCTGGTTGTCGCTGTTGAACAGCTTCACCAGGTCGCCGATTCCATTCAGGCGACGCACCTAGGGAAGAAGAGAAGTGTTTTGGTTTATTATAAAGTTTTTGTTTCATCTCACTGTCCTCTGGCTGGATGTTTCTATACCTCTACTAGGATCAAATTCTGGCATATGGTCATTAAAAGAGAAATTTAACATTTTTGGTAGCACTAGATCTTGATTTGCTTTGTGTTAGATGAAGACGATTAAATTTGTCTCTCATTAATGAATATGTTGGGGATGAATTTGTCACCTTCAGGTGAAACCATTAGCAGCCTCATCTTGTTTATGGTCTCTATGCTATGCTAAGCTAAGCTAGCTAACTGCAGCTTCACATTTACTATATTAACATGAGTGGTATCAATTCTTTCATCTAATACTCATTAAGACAGAAAGAAAAAAAAGAAAGCTAATGGTGTGACCAGTTGGCTGATGAGCTGGTGAGTGTGTGTACTACATGGGCAGCAGCAAGTTCTTGGTTTACTGTCAGGATAATTCCTAGCTAATATAAAAATGAGCAAAGAGGTGGAGTGTGGGTGGACCGGAGGCGGCAAATGCAAATGTCTCTGAGCCATGGACTGTCCCGTGATGGCACCCAACTATTACTCAAACCGGCCACACCCTTAATTATGCATAACATCAACCCTTAACAGTATCTAAACAGGGGAGTTAGATAAAACTCACTACTCAATTTGTTGCCATGAGCAACAAATATATTATAGAGCCTAAACAGTTTTAGTAACAGGGTGTAAACATGTTTATTTCTGCTGTGAAGTTGGGCGTTTTTACAAGGGGGTCTATGGGGACTGATTTGCTTTTTGAGCCAGCCTCAAATGGACATTCAAGGAACTGCAGTTTTTGGAACTGCAAAAAAAAATTAAAACTCATGAAACCAGTTCACAAGATACTGGATTCTTAAAACTAAAAATGTTAGCTAAGCTAAAAGCACTTAGCCAAAGAAAACAAACAACTTCAACGGTGTCTCACATGAGATTTTAAGCCACCTGCTATATATACACCTTTCAACATACAAAAAGGGCAGAGTCCAGATTCAGTGATGATAAAAATTAAGCAAACAGCTGGAACACAGCAGAACAGAAGCAAAGTTGGAGCCAATTTAATGTCACCAGAAGTGGAGAAACATCCATCAATGGACGCCTACACTTTAGAGAAAACTATTTTAATGACCGACTCCCTAAATTAGGGACTGCAGGGAGGACAGAACCAGAGGAATTCCAACCACAAGTTTAATCTGTGCAAAGTACCTCTTCTTTGGCCTCGCTGTCATTGTAGCACTGATGCTGAATGTAGGCGGCACCCAGGACCTGCAGGTCAGGGTCGAGCTCTCTCAGGTTTTGCACTGCCGTGGCCATGTCCAAGGAGTTGATCCTGTCGAGGGAGCAAATGAACAAATTCAACCAAAAGAATCTCCAACATTTATTCACGCTGTCGTTGTGTTTGGTAGCACAAAAATATGTCTATTTGGATGATGGAATGAACAATAACACAGCAGCCGCAGCAATCATAATCACAGATGATTTGTTGCTTATGCGTAAAATTCAGCGTGTTGAATTTCTTCCAAATCACACAGTGCTCTGCAGATCCGCTCGCCTAACCGCACGCTGTGGGATGTGTGAAATGCGAGGCCTGAAACTGAGCTGCCACACCCTAAACCAGTCCTGCCACTATGGAGTCACCTCCCAATCCACAGCTCTTGGGAAATGCACTGCTCACGTCGCACAACCCTCTCAAGAAAACCTCCTGACTCATGAAAGTTGTGACACCATCATATAGGTTTACCATCATCACGAAAATGCCAGTGACGTGCAAGAAAAAAAATACACAACTGAATCACCGGAGTGGTTCGACTTCACTGAGTCTGTAATCTAATGAAAGACTGAAGCTAGTATCATTCTACACTGTTGACAATTCCCACAAAAAACCCATCCAAACAATACATTAGTCTGTCTTTTAATATTTCCCAATTTCTCTCCTACTTCCACAGCTCTCAGCCAAAAACCCATCTGTTCAAAACAGCTAAATCTTTTTCTAAAGCAGCTGGGCATTGTCATTTTTAGGGAACACTGCTTAAAGTGAAGTAAACACAGGATTTCTAGTGGACTATTTTCAGCTGTGGATTAATACATATTTGGTTTTCTAGTGAGGATTTGCAGCAGTGGAACAGTGAACATGGAACTGACTCTAAATAAACTAAAGTGTCCATGTCGATCATGACGTCACTGATGCGTCTTTAGTAGTTTTAAGACATCTGAGGATGAAGCTACCAAACAGCAGGCTTTGACTACACAAACAATCGTTGTCAGTAGGATTATTCTGTGTTGTTTTTTTGTCCAGGGATTTGTTGACAATAAAAACAATAAAGTATCTGACCAGACTAATCTTCTCAGTCAACATCAACGTGTTCTCAGGTTGGCTGTTGAGGCCGATGAAGTCTAACCAGCCAAATGTGAAGGCAGTCATTATAGCGATCACTGATTTGCATGAACGTCTAACATCACAATGAACTTCTGTCAGTACTGTGTGATTACATCCAATTGAAGAAAACACTGTTTACGTCAATGTGAGCAGAAATAACTCTGAGAGCTTCTCACCCGCTAAGGTTGCCCATGCTGGCTCCCATCTCCATCTGCCCGTCATAGATGTCCATGCCCCTACCAACACTGTGCATGCTTTTGATTGACATGGCCCGGGACAGGGTGCCAGGGCGCTGCATTAGTAGGTTCCCCTGGGAGCCGGAGGACACAATGAACCCTCTGTCTCCTCCATAGGTGCTCCCACTGGAGGACATCTGCGGCGTCTGCATGGTCCCAGACATGGAGCCCATGCTCATCCGGTTTCGGTTTGTAATCCTGTTGATGGTGCGGTGGGCCGGGCCTTTGAAGGACTGTTGCTGGACGACCTCCATGCCTCCCATTGGCATGCCTCCACCACGGGAAAGAGTGCCGCTCAGAGATCGGCGCATAGGTGACTGAAAGGTCATGGTGTTTCCTTGCCTCACCTGGGTGCTGTAGCCGTTGGCGACGCTGTGAGCATACTGGCGGCTGAAGCCGGCGTCCCGGTCGGAGACCATGCTGGCAGCATCACTGCCATCGACTATCCAAGGGTTCACCTGCGCTGTCTGCTGTCGCATTGAATGCACAGAGAAGGTTTCTGGTTCCATTCGGCTCTGCGTTCTCATGCTCCCTTGGTAGTTGCCCATATGTATGTCCTCTTGATAAAAGCCACCGCCGCCACCACCACTGGCCACGGCACCCCCCATGCTCATCCTGGGATACTGGGCCAGCTCTGCGCCAGCAGACTGGGCGCTGAAGCCTGATCTCTGGGAAACACGTGGAGTCTGATAATAAAGAGGAGTAACTGTTACGGTCAGATGTGTAAGCAAAGTTACTCAATATGTTCTAGTGAAGTTTTTGTGTGGGTGTATTTGTTATGAATCACTGGATTGTTTCTAAATTTGTGCTGAGGAATCTGACTATGGAAAGAGAGGTCTTGTCTTCAGTACTTTCTGTCACAGTAATTTCATTATTCATTAAACTGAGAGCATTTAGAAGTCTAAAATGTGTCTTCAGGCCTCTCTTACTCTTACAGTTCAAACATCAGTGGCACACAGCCAGGGTCTTTCTACTGAAACACTAAAATAGAGGAATCTAGAGGGTGGACTTGAAAACTCAGAGCTGATCTCATCACAGCCTACTGTGAAATACCACACATGCTGTGTTCTACGTGACCCACCAACAGAGGTTTTAATTAGAACATCAACCTGAATGACACATTAGATGACCAGTTTAATAATAGCTACTATCTGTGTGAATACACACTGAAATTGTGGGAAAATGCTGCTGTACTCACCATGGTTTTGGAGCCAGTGTACATGAATTGGGATTTAGAGGTGTAATTTGGGGTAAAGGTGTTGTATTTCGTGGTCGACGTACCACCATACTCTGAAATACAGAAACAAAACATCATTTAATCGATCAAATGTCAGTAAGAAACGTGATGACTACATAAAATATCACATTCATATGTGATAAAACTGTAAGAGGAGGGGGTTTATGACTAAAAATCTCATTGTAGAATGTATCTGTAAGCTCTAGCAACACTGTCAAACGCAGGCAGGGAAAGAGAACTGAAAACTCATTGCATTGTGTTTGAATTCTTTTGGAGTCAGAAGTGTTGGGAATGGATGACCAAGATGACACCCTCAAATGAGTGGTTTTGTCCACAACCCAAAGATATTCAGTTTAGTGTCACAGAGAAGGAAAGAAACTAAAAAATATTCTCAAGAATGAAGCTTGAATCAGAGTCTTTTCCAAAAACAAATTAGTTGTCAAAATTGTTGCCCATTCATTTAATGGTTGACAGGTAATTGATTATTCAATTATCACTGCAGCTCTAATGCCGAAAATGTCATATTTATTTTTATGTAACATCAAACAAAACTGTAAACTTTGAACCAGACAGACTTTATCTGTCTGCTACTGTTCATTCTGGGAAATGCTGATCTTTCATTTTAAAATCTGTATCGGCTGAAACGGATGATAATGCTGTTATCATTATGCATCTTTATGCAAAAAATATTTTCACTTTCACATTTCTTGGAAGCAAGGGAGTCAATCTAAAAGCAGCCTGACTCCGACGCTGCTGACTGTGTTCCTGCTTTAGTAAGAGGTCAAGTGTGAATGGAAAAAGTGACGAATACAGCTTCCTTCATTTTCTGAGGTCACACTGATCCCCCACCCAAACAAATGTTCTTCCCATTTGAAATTTCTTTGATTAATGTCTTTTTGATTTTGCGCAGAAGTAGAACAATGGATAAACTGGTTATTCTTGACTAATAGAATAACTTTAAGTCTTTATACATGTTAATGCTACTGGTGTGAACTGAGCTCTGCTTCATACATAAATAAAACAGCATCAACTCCACCCTGAAGGTTGGTGGTGTTACAATACAATCATGGAAACAATGAAAATTTGACACCCTCTGCTTTCACAATCTTATTAAACACAATCAATAAATGTTAGCAGTCAACATATTATTACTTAAATAAGTTAATTTAAATACTTAACATCAAAAAACGGTCGGTAAAACCATAAAGAACATTTCTAATGCGTGACGGTAGATCTAATCACAGCATGGCGTCCACAATAAGGAGTCATGCCTCTTAAATTTATAACAATGATTCGCGTGAACAGCGTTGCAGTTTGAAAAGCAGGTGTCCTGTTGCACTGAAGACTGAATGTTTGATTACAAGCAGAGTCTGAAACAGGAGGATCGAATCGCTCAGCGGGCCTGATGTCTCCGGTTACCGTCACTCGGAGAGCATTTTATATCGGACACACAAAGACATTCAGTTGTTTCCCTCAGCATGGGGAGCGTGTGAATGTTTCCCTCTCGTTCTAGATTAGAAGTGACCTGACAGGCGAGCGGCGGCTGTGATAGCAAACATGTACTAAAATGTTCACTATGTAGGATGCTTGCACAACAGTTTGTTGACCTAAATATCTGCATCAACCCAAGGACTGTGTCAGTGAGAACTGCATGTTAATTATACTGCATCTGCTGTGGCTGTAATTATGTTTGTGTCATTTCTCATCGTATGCCAGTGAATTAGGAAATTATTTTGCACCCTGTTATTTATTTAACTAGTATCGCATGCTGAAATAGAAAGTACAGCTGAGGTTTTTGTTTGTGTGACTGGTTTTGCAAGTATTTGGACTTGCATGCTGACCTCCTGGTGGCCGTGGATGGGGATCCATCAACGCTCTGAACCTTAAGCATTTCCTGGGCGTTTTGGGTTACTATCACATTTCTACTCACTGTGGCCTCATTTTTCACTGCAATATAAAGTTCTGCAACTCCTATGGAAACACAACCATGACTAGAAGTGGAGAGCAGTCAAAATTATCTTCTGTGCAGTAAGACAATTAGAACGCCACAGATCCTGAAAGTTGTAGAATCATAGAATTTCTCTATTTATTTTACACACATTTTTAAAACCTGAACCCAAAATGTGCAAAATTTTCTCAACAGGTGCTAGCAATATGAGAAAAAAATGGTGGCTGTGAACACAGCCTGCAGTACAACTGAAAAGTCCCCGAATTTTTGCCACATGACTGTTGATCATAGCTGAGTCACTAATAGCTTCATGGTTGTGCCCAGTAGTGCAGAATTGTTTGTTTTTTACAGAATGTGGTTAGAATAAACCATTTATTTTTGAGGAATTTTTGAATGAGACATGCAGAATAAAGTGATATTAATGATGTTAAATTTGCTGGTGGAACCTCAAATCACACGTGACACTTCCCACGCCATCAGAAAATATAAACTCTGCTGATCCTTCCTGTTTAATAGACCTGGCTCTGATAAATTATGTCATTTTAGCAGTTTAAAAAAAAGAATAAAAACAAGAACAACATGCCTTTCATACCTGCAGGTCAAGTTTTGCAGTTCAGAGGGTTAAATAGTTACTAAAACATATGACTGAAAACCAGAAAATGTCCACATCCATGTGGTCAGGAAGTCAGGAAGCCACTAAATGACAACAGGGTTCATCCTCTGGGGAATATGAACCGCAGCTCAAGCCAATCATCAATATTAAATCTAGTTTAAAACCTTCCCTGCCTCGAGGGAACCCAAACACTTCATGATGTCAGACTGCAGCTAAAGGTGCCAAGTAAAATAACTAAATAATCAGAGGAGACGCTTCTAAGAAAAACAAAGACAAGCATGTGTGTGTGTGTGTGTGTGTGTGTGTGTGTGTGTGTGTGTGTGTGCATGTTTGTAGCCAGGCTTGTGTATGAGTCTGCTGTACATGTGCGTTCAAGACGAGCCTGAGCAGTTGTAGGTTTTACTCTTCCCATGTGCTCAGAGAGGAGGTTTGAATTTGCTTCACGCGTCATGTGTGTTGAGCTCCCCGACATCGAACCAGCTGGTAGCAGGGAAAAATGATTGACACGTCTTCTGGCCTGACCCCTGCCCAACCCAGCCAACGCCCAACACACCTGCCAGCGTTTCTAACACACACAAACACACCCTGAAAACTCCTTCAAACTCTTTTTTTCCCCTGCTTCTCTCTGTTGTCTATTGAAAAGGTAACTTTGATCACGCAGCCAGGACTCGCACACCTCATAAATATTCTTTTTCCCGCTCAGACTTGTCCACCTATGAGCACCGTTCAGTTATTGTCAGAAGTGCACAGCTGCAGCAGCTTTTAGATGCAGAGGAGGAAACATTCCTCGCAGATTCCTCTGGGTGTTTTCCTCATGTGCGAACACTTATGCAGTCATATTGCAATTCTCTGAAGCCAGAAACCACCGAAACAGCAGCATTCCCTGTTGCTTTGTAAGAAACTCTTCCCATGTGCAGGTTTTCAGAAGATAACAGATATGAAGTTGCATTTTATGGATATATATACTCTCCCACAGGCACAGCCCAGGGCGAGGGATGGGCTGGGACACTAGACTACAGTGTTTGACAATGATGATGGTAGTAAAAACAGGCAGCAGCCTATTTAACAGACGTGTTGTATGTCCCTGAGAATTCCAGCCTTTCAAAGTGGCACGAACACTATGCTTGTTTAGGCAGGTATTGTTGGCGCCTCTGGGAAATGCTAAAACTAGAAGAGTGAGGGGGGAAAAAAAAAAAAAAACTCGTCTTCTTCTGCCACTTCCACACAACACAGAATTTAGAGGTCAGATAAACAGCGACCCGGCGTCGAGCTGCTCGGCCCGCTCCCCGCAGTTTGGCTGAGCACAGTGAATTATGGGACGTGAAGGAATGTCTTCACACATCAAGCAGCAACAAGTAGATGCGCAAGTTTCAGTCAGCAGGATTTCAGAAACAACAACGGGACGCGCCGGTGTAGCTCCACGCTCATTCAGCTGTATCAAATGTGATGTAACTAATTCCAAACTCTCCAGGAAACCTTTCATTCCCCCTGTGGGTGTCTTACCACCGCTTACGCAACAACCTCACTGACTTTTTGTCCGCCTCCCCACAGGATCCAGTCAGACAAACTTTTAATAATGTGACGTCTTTGAGCAGACAAACACGACAGCTGGTTCTCACAACACTGTCATCTCCAGAGCTATCTGGTGAACCCTCCTCTCTTTAAGCTGACCTGAAACCCAATCCCACAGAGGGAGGCTTTCACCTCAGCCTGCTATCAGGGGAGGTCATGAAGGCAGTGCTTGTTTCTGCCTGTTACACATTAACTGTCTCTCATGACAGAGTGCAAGATTGTTGCTGCTTGAGCTCAGCTCAGGTCAGGGCAAAAAGAAAAATCCCCCCAATGAGCTGACCAGAAAACAAGCCCACAGGATTTCCGTGCGGGGATAAGCAGGCGCACAAAGCCCCCCACCCACTTGGGATGTCCTGTAGAGCTGCAGACCCTCACTGACGTAAGAAAAGTGACCCAATCTCTGAGAAATTCGTGTTTTTCTACAGTTGTGTGGAGCCAACAGACCAGCAAAACTCTTTCTCCCTGTTAGAGCTCAGTCAGTGAGCAGCTATTGACAGACAATAATGGCAGCACCTGTGCCTGGACTCTATCTGTGTGGAGAGCTCTACTTAAAATTCCTCCACTTGCCCGCAATGAACCCGAACCAGCTCTTACAACATCTCCTTGGAACACACAGAGCAGAGCAGCCAAGCACCGTGACAGTGAGCTGAGAAGCTTTGTTGATGTTTACCTGACATGGCGTATTGCGTGGAGGACCCATTCTGACGCGGAAGTGTGGACTTCTCCGCCATCCTCAGCTGGACCTGCTGCTGGACGCGCCGCGCTCTCGCCACTTCGTCCGACACGAAGCCTCCATTCCCGAGCTGGTTGTCCGACGGGAGGGCGTAGGTGGTGACCGAAGTGTTGGGCTGTAAAGCAGACAAAAACACGCTCTCTGAAGCCACGACACTCATGGTGAGAAAACTTTGTAGGAGAGACCCGGTCAAGGCCGTGTGTCGGTCAGTCCTCCGGTCTGCGCTCTGCGTCGTGGCAGCTCGGCACAGTGTGGAGAGGGAGCGAGACGCACCGACAAAACAGAGCGAGAGCTGCACATCCGAAGGAGGTGGAGCCTCCCAGAGCCCACAGCAGACTACCTGACTCACAGGTGAGCAATTCCCCCCTCGAACTTTGAGATAACATCACGGCTCTGCTGCTCATCGAGGATTCACATCAGCTTTTCCTTTTTTTTTTTTTTTAAACTGTCAAACAGAAATTAAAAGTTTGGTCCAACTGGTTTCAAAATGCTTGGAGCCAAATTCCCTGGAAAAGAGCTGAAATGGACTAATCGTGAGAAACAAGCGTGTTTTTTTCTCTCTCTCTTTTTTTTTAAAAGTGTTTTTAACGCACTAGTGGAAAACATACTTGACTGAAAGCGCAAATGTAGTCAAATACTCCATTACAAGTGAAAGTGCTCCATGAAAGGCCAACTTAAAAGTACATACGTATGAGTAGCAGTCCGTAGTTAAAGTCTTAAAGTAAAGGTCTGGTCCATGTGGCTGATGCATGATTATAAATGACATCATGAGATTATTAACAGTGACGCATCAGGGTGTCAGCAGCAGGTCGCTTCAGGTGGAGCCTCTTACAAACACTGTTGGTTCAGTTTCATATACACCAGGGGTGTCCAATCCTGGTCTTCGAGGCCCACAGTCCTGCATGTTTTAGATGTTTTTCTCTTCCAACACACCTGATTCAAATGATCAGCTCATCATCAAGCTCTGCAGAAGCCTGACCACGATCCTGATCATTTGAATCAGGTGTGTTGGAAGAGGGACTGTGGCCCTCCAGGACCAGGATTGGACACCCCTGATGTCCAGTGACAGCAGATGCATCTAAAGCAGAGAGGAATAATGAGAAAAGAAAGAAGAAGTTTCTTTGAGCCACAAAACTGTTTTCAGTTTTTGGACTTTTTTCTGTAATCTCAGATTTGTTTGGGGAGATATTCCATGACTGGAAGTGAAATGAAACCATGTGAGAAGTTTAGAGAGAAAAACCCCTACATGTTGGAGCTGTTAACAACTCATAGATATGTAAAATATATAAATAAAAACTTTTTGTAAGAAGCCAGAAAGTTGGAAACTTCATTTTTAGCAGTGTGCTGTATTTTTAAAGCTTGTTATATTACATAATGTGTAAGGTCGTAAAGATAACAGTCACTAAATCAGTCACAATACAGACGGGTGTTTCCCTTTGAAATGTCATAAAGTGGAAGCATAAAGCAGCATAAAATGGAAATAGGCAAGTACACTCCAAGTACTTCGAGGACAGCACTTAAGCTGTTGTTCTTCCACCGCTGCTATAACTTTACAAACTTGTTTCCACTTTTTGCAAACCTGTATTTCATTTGAACAGTTAAAAACAGTATCTGACTGTAACCAATACATTTTACCAAAGCAGTGCAAGTATCTACATTTCTAAACTGCTGGCCTTCCTAACGTTCCTGACAATTCCATTTGAAGAGTTCATTTGCAAAAACAGATAACTCCACTTTAAACAGATAAACCCACTTTCCCATCGTCTACCTGAGACAATATCAATCAAACTTAAGTTGTCTCTATTTTGGTGATGTCATTTCTGCTGAGTCAAATCCACTCAACTTCAGTTTGATTGATATTATCTCAATCAAACAACAACAGAAACATACGTTTTCTAAAAACAAATCTACAAAAATGGAGTTATCTGTTTTTGCAAATGAACACTTCATTTCATACTGTATTTTCACATTTAGATGACAACTGGTTCTTTGTCGATCAGAAGTTTACACACGTAGACGGTTACAAGCACAGTGTGGAACCAGTAAGCAAGTAATCCAATGATATACTAATGAAAGGGAACGACTTTGGAAGTACTGCAGAGTGTTGCTGGGCAGAGGGACGCCTGGAATGACCTGCTTCACCTGTTACCTCTGTGACCCGACTCCGGATAAACACAAGAAAACAGATGCATAGATACTAATAACTAGCAGTCCAACACAAATTCCAGGGTACTTTCCCTTGCGATGTGGTGCTTTGAAACTGCTGTGTTGCTATTTTCACTTCAGTAATCTGAATGCTGGGTAATTGCTGAGGAATTTCTTGAATGTGTCACTTTTCAGCTGAACCATGTGTCATTTTCTCTCTTCTGTTTTATAGTAACTCCTGCGTTAAACATCATGGACAAGAGAAATTGGAAGTATCTTGTGTGTTTTCTCTTTCTGATAAGGAAGCACTGTTTCAATGTGAATGCCTTTGAGTGGAAGTCTGTGGTTTGTGAGCTGATGTACGCAACAGATCATGTCAGAGATACTGTGTTTGCCATATAATGCGATCAAAGTATGTTTGTGTGGTTTCTTTTGTGGTTAATTTTCTGTAGATTTTGCAACACACTGTAAGCCAACTTCTCCCCCGCTGTTTACAGTTGCTCCTATTGCTCCATTATATTGCTTTCATAATCTAATCATGCAACAAAGACGATCTTTGCTCACTCGGTGGAGCTTTGATGGAGGTGTTCTCACAAATTGGCAAGATATTAGGTTCAGTCTCGCAAATGACGGTAAGAATGAATGCAGGACTGTTACAAGGTGTGGCACAGTCGCACTCTGTTATTACGTTGGAGCCACACCTAACTTTTATCTGGTTTGTTTTATTTGAGCTTAGCAACTGTGAGTCACTGTATCCAACACAAAAGCGCCGTACAGGGTGGGAGTAGAACATGTTACCTGCCACATGTCTACCTGCAGCAGCTACCTGTTCACATACATGTCACAGAATAAACGCCATAAGCATTTCTGTCTAACTGGATGAAGGTGCAAATAAACATCTCAGCTGTAATTGCTTTGTTTCCTGAGTTCCTGTCAGCCTCCCTTTGTTTAAATGCATCTGAAAAAAAAAGGTCATTCACTCAGCAAAGTCATTTCCCTCGAGGATATCTGAAGATTTCATTTCCCCCAAAGCACATCAAAGTGAATAGGTTTACAGTGAAGCGGATGCAGATAGAGCTCTATAGAAACACAACCTCTTTCCTCCATTTATCAAATGACAAATTGCCATTCACTTGTTTCCTCACACTCCTTCCAAATCAGTTCACGCTGACTTCACCTTCATTGTCTCTGCATGTTTATCAGCTGGAGCGATAAACAACTTCACACACAGCAGATAAAAAGCCCAACGAGATGCGACAAGGGCTTTGAAATTAATTAAAGCGGCATTAATTCTACGCTCTGATCCCAACAGCATGAGGAATGATCAGTGGATAGGCTTGGACTTACCATTACAACTGAAGCTGAAGTGACTGCGGATGTTCTCCTCTCTCTGATGCCACCTGTTCTGATGTGAACTTGCAGGAGTTAGAAAGTATTAAAAGTTACCGTCACCGCCCTGAAAATTATAATTCCCTTTCCTTGGTGAATACACAACGCGCACCAAACAAAGAGATGAGTCAAAGGAGCGTATGACACCACAGGGTGTGTTGAAGCCAATAGGGGCGGATGGACTGACTGAGACCAACAGGGAGGATGCAGGTACAAAGGTAACACAACATTCTGTTTTTTTTTTTTCTTTTAGAGGAGCTGTGACTTTTCTCCTGAGGCTGTTGTTGTTTTTTTATTAATAATTGCCATAACATTGTGTTTTATTGTGGTGTGTGG